TATTATTAAACCACCTGCTTTTGGAGGTAAATCGTTGACTAGTAAACATGAATTTGATTTGAAATGATTTTATACAAGTAGAGAATTATTAAAAAAGAGTAGTTAATATACATAATCAAAAATGTATATTTCGAGGAGCGGTTGCGAAGGCCGGACCCGGCTGGAACCGGTTCTAAAGACGCTAAATCGCCACAGTTCGGTTAGAACCGAAAAAAATGGACCATTGATTTTTGTTATAATGGTACTAAGTAATGGCACTTGATAATAACTTGAGTGATTATTTATTTATTAAAAGAAAATTTTTACATGTAAGTCAGCTGTAGACAATGTCATTGGTCGTATTAGACTGCATTGGAAGGCATTTCGTTTAAATGCCTTTCTCTAACGGACTTCTATATAATGAATATTCGGTCTAGTTTAGTATATTATTGCCATAGGCTTACGTCGATATTGCTCTAACCCCCCTATAAATATTAACCGCACCCCTCCTGCACCCCCCCCCACCCCATTGAAAATGAATTAATATGTCACTTTAAAATTATTTTATAAAAATAAATTGTAATAATTTTTTTAAATTATTATCTTACAAAAATTTTAATCTAACCCCCCAAAAGACGTGCAATAAGTGGGCCTTAGTAATTCAAATCTATTGGAAGAAATCTACATAAAGTATTTCACTCCCCCAGGGAAACCCTAACTGTTCCTATTTATCGATTAGTTGATTTTCCAGATAAGCCTATAGAAATATAAGTAATTATTATTTATTAGAAATGTTCATTAATCTTTACATTTCTTATATCACATATCTTTTCGCAATATGAATATTCATATTAATGCTCATTAATCTTTGTATAATCACCATACAATAATTAAGAAACAAAAACATCACAACCATCTACACACCACATCTAGAATACATTCAAAAAATTAAATTTATATTCGATTTATATTTAAATTATATATTTTAGATTACAAATACAAAATATGCCCATTGTGCCAGTTTGGTAGTGTTTTTTTGTAGGAATTATTTCGGAATTAGGAATATCAGATCTTTAATTAAATCAAACAATGCTAAAAAATTTTAATAACACAATTTTGAAAGTAAAAATTGTATCTCAAATAGTATAAAATAATATTATATTTATATAATGTGTTTAATTATTTTAAAAAGGAAGAAAGGTGATATATAAATTTTTACATTATATTAACATTTTTACATTTAACGGATAATTTAAATATTTTATTTAGTAGCCAAACAATATAAAAATAATATAAAATTATAAATTAAAAGACCATTAAAAATATAAAGTATATTACTAATATGCATTGAAATATTATTTTTTTTTAAAAAAAGAGAAGTAAAAAGAAAATATAGAAATAACAATAATTAATATTCCAAAAATTCATAAAAAAGGAATGGTAGGTGGGGGGGGGGGGTCAATTTCGTAAATAATTATAAATTCAAAAAAAAACTATAATTTACACTGTATTGGGGGGGGGGGACTAATTGATCTTATAGTTGAAATTTGTAAACGTGATTCTTCCAATAATGGATTTAACTTTAAATATTTATATAAACAAACAGGCCTTATTGAACTAAATAAATGTAATTAACGATTAACCCTTATATATTACATTAAAACTTACTTAACAATTAGATGATTATACTTACAATTATATATGAAGGGATTTAGAATCGAATTCAACAAAAAAAAATTCTATTTTCTCTTTTAAGATGAGCGAGTGGGTCTTATTCTTTAGGAAAATAAAATACAATGCGAGTGCAGGAATATATGGCAATTGCTTTCATGTCGTGTGTCTAACATCAATTTTTCTTATAATAAGCGGCTCTACGCCTTTAGTAACATGCCATGCGTTATCTAAAGTAACATACCGTGCCAGCACAGGAATTCTACAGGGCTTTCACTCCAGCTTGCAATAAGCTGTTGCCCATAGATTTCGATAATATGTCTCATTTGTCCCTTCAATGAGCAGGATCTTCAGAACTTATTCTTCTGGATAAAATATTGAGTTAGCCATTTTTAAAAATCGGCTCCAAACGAACCATTCAACAACACTATCTCCGTGTAAAAATTAAATCTGAATTATGAATAGAAGTATCTTTGTAAAATCAAACAACGGTAAAATTCCAATAATAATTTTGAAAGTAAAAAATTATATCTGTATAATGGTGTAAAATAATATCATTTATTTGGTATGAAATTATCATTTTTATGTAAATGTTGATATAATGGAAAATTTATATACTAACCTTCTTCTTGCTAAATAATTAAACATACTATATAAATGATATTATTTTATACCATAAGAGATAAATTTTTAACTTTCAAAATTATGCTATTGGGATTTAACCATTTTTTGATATAATAAAGATACTTCTGATATTCCTAATTCTGAGCTGATTCCTATAATAGCTAATAAACAAAAACCACACATCATCTAGAACATCACATTAGAAATATATACAAAAATTAAAAAATTGAATAAAATATTTGATTTTATTTACTAATTTATATACAATTTTTAAATAATATATTTTAGATTACAAATATGAACCGTATCTTATTTAATAGGATTTTATTGTATACAAAAATTGAATAAATATTTGAATTTATTAAATAATTTATATTTAAATAATATATCTTAGATTACAAATACAAATATACCCATTGTGACTGTTTGGTAGTATTTTTATCTTAATAATAAACAAAAATTTCACAATCAACTAGGGCTTAACATTAGAAATATATACAAAAACTAAAAATATTGAATAAATATTTGAATTTATTTACTTTTACTAATTTATATTAGAATTATATTTAAATAATATATTTTACAAATACAAATATGCCATTGTGACTGTTTGGTAGTATTTTTATCTTAATAATAAATAATAAACAAAAATTTCACAATCAACTAGAGCTTAACATTAGAAATATATTTAAAAAAAGTAAAAAATTGAATAAATATTTGAATTTATTTACTTTTACTAATTTATATTAGATTTATATTTAATTAATATATATTCGATTACAAATACAAATATGCCAATTGTGACTATTTGGTAGTATTTTTATCTTATTAATTAATAATAAACAAAAATTTCACAATCATCTGGAGCTTAACATTAGAAATATATAAAAAAAACTTAAAAATTGAATAAATATTTGAATTTATTAACTTTTACTAATTTGTATTAGATTATATTTAAATAATATATTTTAGATTACAAATACAAATATGCCATTGTAACTGTTTGGTAGTATTTTTATCTTAATAATAAATAATAAACAAAAATTTTACAATCAACTAGAGCTTAATATTAGAAATATATACAAAAACTAAAAAAATTGGATAAATATTTGAATTTATTTTCTTTTACTAATTTATATTAGATTTATATTTAAATAATATATTTTAGATTACAAATACAAATATGCCAATTGTGACTATTTGGTAGTATTTTTATCTTATTAATTAATAATAAACAAAAATTTCACAATCATCTGGAGCTTAACATTAGAAATATATAAAAAAAACTTAAAAATTGAATAAATATTTGAATTTATTAACTTTTACTAATTTGTATTAGATTATATTTAAATAATATATTTTAGATTACAAATACAAATATGCCATTGTAACTGTTTGGTAGTATTTTTATCTTAATAATAAATAATAAACAAAAATTTTACAATCAACTAGAGCTTAATATTAGAAATATATACAAAAACTAAAAAAATTGGATAAATATTTGAATTTATTTTCTTTTACTAATTTATATTAGATTTATATTTAAATAATATATTTTAGATTACAAATACAAATATGCCAATTGTTACTGTTTGGTAGTATTTTTATCTTATTAATTAATAATAAACAAAAATTTCACAATCATCTAGAGCTTAACATTAGAAATATATACAAAAACTAAAAAATTGAATAAATATCTGAATTAATTTACTTTTACTAATTTATATTAGATTTATATTTAAATAATATATTTTAGATTACAAATGTTTGGTAGTATTTTATATTAAATAACTAATTAGTAATAAATAATTATATAACTTTTATGTAGGTTTCCAACCCAACGGCCAAGAAAACTATCACCGAAAATAGAATTAAACACCAACTGAAATATATAGAATTCTAACAAAATTAGTTAGAATTAGATAAAAAGAAAAATTATTAAATATTTTATTTAAAAACCGTTTCTAATCTTTATTATTTTTTAGGATATAAAAATCAATTCGTACTATTAATTTGGTGCGATTAATTTTCGTATGAAGTTGGACTAATTAATGATTAATTGTAGATCAATTGTGGGATTCCAACATAACCTTTAAACAACTAACCTATAAAGAAATATCCATTCCTAAATAAATCTAATTTTGTAGGCTATTTGTGACCAAAGTCAAGAGAACAGTACTAGATGTTCCTGGCTTTACCATAAACTAGATTAAATATATGTAATTATAGCTAAACAAATGGGATAATATTAAATATTATTACTAATTTATTACAATTCAATTTTTCCTACTACAATATATTTAATCAAATGTAAATATTGATTTTTACAAAATATAATGAATTTAACTGATTGACAAACAAAACCTTAATAACGTAGAGATATCATGGTGTTTAGGTTGATAGTTACTCATGAGTTGTAACTATAAATAATGTGTGTCTAATTTATGGTTCATTATAAATTACAATTATATATAAATAATGTATTTTTCGAAAATGATATAGTCGAATATATTCTAGGATATGTTATGAATTTTTATGGTTTATAACTAATAAATAGTTATATTAAATAATTTGAATATAACGGTGGCATGATATTGGACATGTATCTAATATTATTAAAAGTTCGAAAAGGAGAGAAGATAACTGTGACTTTATCTTTAGTATTATATTTATATCCATGTGATCACCTTATAGTGTGTATTTTAAAATATAAAGTGGAATGACATATGGGTATTCTTTTTCCATCATATGAGCAGGCCATCATCCCACAGATATATTGTATAATATAAATTTCAACACGTCTGTGTAGTATCCACAATATATTTGAATTTTCAAAATTTTCATTAGAGTGTGTGAAATAAAAATATGACTAAAATTCGATACTTGAATTATAAAAGTTAAATATGTTTAAAATAATTAATTCATTTCATTAATATGAGCTGTATATTGGGGTTAGTATTCTAAATTTCTCAAATAATATTAGGAATTGAATTTTTTCGTGATGATTTTACAATCATAGTTTTTAAGGATTTTTCGCGAAAATATTTGTGTTTTATATCATATGAATATATATAGAGTAAACGTGTAAAATTTATAACATCATCATCCTAGTGCTAATATAATTTAAGAATATATATGTGAATATTTTAATTATATTATATATTTATAAATTGTTTTAAAGCATATGTAATATTTATTAAACCAACCCTCACTACTCCCTATGTTGACCGTTCACAACATACACCAACATGTAAACCTCTTTATTTATATGAAAAATAAATAATAAATTTACCATTCTTATAGCTACTCGAAGATTTTCTATACCAACTCGCATCACTACCGATGTTGACCGTTCACAAGAGACACCATCAAGTAAACCTTTTATTTTATAAGCATAATAAATAATAAATTTACCATTCTTATAGCTACTCGAAGATTTTCTATACCAACTCGCATCACTACCGATGTTGACCGTTCACAAGAGACACCATCAAGTAAACCTTTTATTTTATAAGCATAATAAATAATAAATTTACCATACTTATAGCTACTCTAAGATTTTCTATACCAACTAGCATCACTACCGACGTTGACCGTTCACAACAGACACCATCAAGTAAAACTTTTTATTTATAAGCATAATACATAATAAATTTACAATACTTATAGCTACTCGAAGATTTTCTATACCAACTAGCTTCACTACCGATGTTGACCGTTCACAACAGACACCATCAAGTAAACCTTTTTATTTATATGCATAATAAATAATAAATTTACCATATTTATAGCTACTCGAAGATTTTCTATACCAACTCTCATCACTACCGATGTAGACCGTTCACAACAGACACCATCAAGTAAACCATTTATCTTATAAGCAAAATGAATAATAAATTTAATTCTTATAGCTACTCGAAGATTTTCTATACCAACTCGCATCGCTACCGATGTTGACCGTTCACAACAGACACCATCAAGTAAACCTTTTATCTTATAAGCAAAATGAATAATAAAGTTACCATTCTTATAGCTACTCGAAGATTTTCTATACCAACTCGCATCACTACCGATGTAGACAGTTCACAACAGACATCATCAAGTAAATCTTTTTATAATAAATAATATATTTACCATTCTTATAGCTACTCGAAGATTTTCTATACCAACTCGCATCACTACCGATGTAGACCGTTCACAACAGACACCATCAAGTAAATCTTTTTATTTATAATCATAATAAATAATAAATTTACCATTCTTATAGCTACTCGAAGATTTTCTATACCAACTCGCATCACTACCGATGTAGACCGTTCACAACAGACACCATCAAGTAAATCTTTTTATTTATAAGCATAATAAATAATAAATTTACCATTCTTATAGCTACTCGAAGATTTTCTATACCAACTCGCATCACTACCGATGTAGATCGTTCACAACAGACACCATCAAGTAAATCCTTTTATTTATAAGCATAATAAATAATAAATTTACCATTCTTATAGCTACTCGAAGATTTTCTATACCAACTCGCATCATTACCGATGTTGACCGTTCACAACAGACACCATCAAGTAAATCCTTTTATTTATAAGCATAATAAATAATAAATTTACCATTCTTATAGCTACTCGAAGATTTTCTATACCAACTCGCATCATTACCGATGTTGACCGTTCACAACAGACACCATCAAGTAAATCCTTTTATTTATAAGCATAATAAATAATAAATTTACCATTCTTATAGCTACTCGAAGATTTTCTATACCAACTCGCATCACTACCGATGTAGACCGTTCACAACAGACACCATCAAGTAAATCCTTTTATTTATAAGCATAATAAATAATAAATTTACCATATCTTATAGCTACTCGAAGATTTTCTATACCAACTCGCATCACTACCGATGTTGACCGTTCACAACAGACACCATCAAGTAAATCTTTTTATTTATAATCATAATAAATAATAAATTTACCCATTCTAATAGCTACTCGAAGATTTTCTATACCAACTCGCATCACTACCGATGTTGACCGTTCACAACAGACACCATCAAGTAAATCCTTTTATTTATAAGCATAATAAATAATAAATTTACCCATTCTAATAGCTACTCGAAGATTTTCTATACCAACTCGCATCACTACCGATGTAGACCGTTCACAACAGACACCATCAAGTAAATCTTTTTATTTATAATCATAATAAATAATAAATTTACCATTCTTATAGCTACTCGAAGATTTTCTATACCAACTCGCATCACTACCGATGTAGACAGTTCACAACAGACATCATCAAGTAAATCTTTTTATAATAAATAATATATTTACCATTCTTATAGCTACTCGAAGATTTTCTATACAACTCGCATCACTACCGATGTAGACCGTTCACAACAGACACCATCAAGTAAATCTTTTTATTTATAAGCATAATAAATAATATATTTACCATATCTTATAGCTACTCGAAGATTTTCTATACCAACTCGCATCACTACCGATGTAGACCGTTCACAACAGACACCATCAAGTAAATCCTTTTATTTATAAGCATAATAAATAATAAATTAACCATTCTTATAGCTACTCGAAGATTTTCTATACCAACTCGCATCATTACCGATGTTGACCGTTCACAACAGACACCATCAAGTAAATCCTTTTATTTATAAGCATAATAAATAATAAATTTACCATTCTTATAGCTACTCGAAGATTTTCTATACCAACTCGCATCACTACCGATGTAGACCGTTCACAACAGACACCATCAAGTAAACCTTTTTATTTATAAGCATAATAAATAATAAATTTACCATATCTTATAGCTACTCGAAGATTTTCTATACCAACTCGCATCACTACCGATGTTGACCGTTCACAACAGACACCATCAAGTAAATCCTTTTATTTATAAGCATAATAAATAATAAATTTACCATTCTTATAGCTACTCGAAGATTTTCTATACCAACTCGCATCACTACCGATGTTGACCGTTCACAACAGACACCATCAAGTAAATCTTTTTATTTATAATCATAATAAATAATAAATTTACCCATCTAATAGCTACTCGAAGATTTTCTATACCAACTCGCATCACTACCGATGTTGACCGTTCACAACAGACACCATCAAGTAAATCTTTTTATTTATAATCATAATAAATAATAAATTTACCCATCTAATAGCTACTCGAAGATTTTCTATACCAACTCGCATCACTACCGATGTAGACCGTTCACAACAGACACCATCAAGTAAATCTTTTTATTTATAATCATAATAAATAATATATTTACCATTCTTATAGCTACTCGAAGATTTTCTATACCAACTCGCATCACTACCAATGTAGACCGTTCACAACAGACACCATCAAGTAAATCTTTTTATTTATAAGCATAATAAATAATATATTTACCATATTTATAGCTACTCGAAGATTTTCTATACCAACTCGCATCACTACCGATGTTGACCGTTCACAACAGACACCATCAAGTCTTTTTATTTATAATCATAATAAATAATAAATTAACCATTCTTATAGCTACTCGAAGATTTTCTATACCAACTCGCATCATTACCGATGTTGACCGTTCACAACAGACACCATCAAGTAAATCCTTTTATTTATAAGCATAATAAATAATAAATTTACCATTCTTATAGCTACTCGAAGATTTTCTATACCAACTCGCATCACTACCGATGTAGACCGTTCACAACAGACACCATCAAGTAAATCTTTTTATTTATAAGCATAATAAATAATAAATTTACCATTCTTATAGCTACTCGAAGATTTTCTATACCAACTCGCATCACTACCGATGTAGACCGTTCACAACAGACACCATCAAGTAAATCTTTTTATTTATAATCATAATAAATAATAAATTTACCCATTCTAATAGCTACTCGAAGATTTTCTATACCAACTCGCATCACTACCGATGTAGACCGTTCACAACAGACACCATCAAGTAAATATTTTTATTTATAAGCATAATAAATAATAAATTTACCATATCTTATAGCTACTCGAAGATTTTCTATACCAACTCGCATCACTACCGATGTAGACCGTTCACAACAGACACCATCAAGTAAATCTTTTTATTTATAATCATAATAAATAATAAATTTACCATTCTTATAGCTACTCGAAGATTTTCTATACCAACTCGCATCACTACCGATGTAGACCGTTCACAGCAGACACCATCAAGTAAATCTTTTTATTTATAATCATAATAAATAATAAATTTACCCATCTAATAGCTACTCGAAGATTTTCTATACCAACTCGCATCACTACCGATGTTGACCGTTCACAACAGACACCATCAAGTAAATCTTTTTATTTATAATCATAATAAATAATAAATTTACCCATCTAATAGCTACTCGAAGATTTTCTATACCAACTCGCATCACTACCGATGTAGACCGTTCACAACAGACACCATCAAGTAAATCTTTTTATTTATAATCATAATAAATAATATATTTACCATTCTTATAGCTACTCGAAGATTTTCTATACCAACTCGCATCACTACCAATGTAGACCGTTCACAACAGACACCATCAAGTAAATCTTTTTATTTATAAGCATAATAAATAATATATTTACCATATTTATAGCTACTCGAAGATTTTCTATACCAACTCGCATCATTACCGATGTTGACCGTTCACAACAGACACAATCAAGTCTTTTTATTTATAATCATAATAAATAATAAATTAACCATTCTTATAGCTACTCGAAGATTTTCTATACCAACTCGCATCATTACCGATGTTGACCGTTCACAACAGACACCATCAAGTAAATCCTTTTATTTATAAGCATAATAAATAATAAATTTACCATTCTTATAGCTACTCGAAGATTTTCTATACCAACTCGCATCACTACCGATGTAGACCGTTCACAACAGACACCATCAAGTAAATCTTTTTATTTATAAGCATAATAAATAATAAATTTACCATTCTTATAGCTACTCGAAGATTTTCTATACCAACTCGCATCACTACCGATGTAGACCGTTCACAGCAGACACCATCAAGTAAATCTTTTTATTTATAATCATAATAAATAATAAATTTACCCATCTAATAGCTACTCGAAGATTTTCTATACCAACTCGCATCACTACCGATGTAGACCGTTCACAACAGACACCATCAAGTAAATATTTTTATTTATAAGCATAATAAATAATATATTTACCATATCTTATAGCTACTCGAAGATTTTCTATACCAACTCGCATCACTACCGATGTAGACCGTTCACAACAGACACCATCAAGTAAATATTTTTATTTATAAGCATAATAAATAATAAATTTACCATATCTTATAGCTACTCGAAGATTTTCTATACCAACTCGCATCACTACCGATGTAGACCGTTCACAACAGACACCATCAAGTAAATCTTTTTATTTATAATCATAATAAATAATAAATTTACCATTCTTATAGCTACTCGAAGATTTTCTATACCAACTCGCATCACTACCGATGTAGACCGTTCACAGCAGACACCATCAAGTAAATCTTTTTATTTATAATCATAATAAATAATAAATTTACCCATTCTAATAGCTACTCGAAGATTTTCTATACCAACTCGCATCACTACCGATGTTGACCGTTCACAACAGACACCATCAAGTAAATCTTTTTATTTATAATCATAATAAATAATAAATTTACCCATCTAATAGCTACTCGAAGATTTTCTATACCAACTCGCATCACTACCGATGTAGACCGTTCACAACAGACACCATCAAGTAAATCTTTTTATTTATAATCATAATAAATAATATATTTACCATTCTTATAGCTACTCGAAGATTTTCTATACCAACTCGCATCACTACCGATGTAGACCGTTCACAACAGACACCATCAAGTAAATCTTTTTATTTATAAGCATAATAAATAATATATTTACCATATTTATAGCTACTCGAAGATTTTCTATACCAACTCGCATCATTACCGATGTTGACCGTTCACAACAGACACCATCAAGTAACTTTTTATTTATAATCATAATAAATAATAAATTAACCATTCTTATAGCTACTCGAAGATTTTCTATACCAACTCGCATCATTACCGATGTTGACCGTTCACAACAGACACCATCAAGTAAATCCTTTTATTTATAAGCATAATAAATAATAAATTTACCATTCTTATAGCTACTCGAAGATTTTCTATACCAACTCGCATCACTACCGATGTAGACCGTTCACAACAGACACCATCAAGTAAATCTTTTTATTTATAAGCATAATAAATAATAAATTTACCATTCTTATAGCTACTCGAAGATTTTCTATACCAACTCGCATCACTACCGATGTAGACCGTTCACAGCAGACACCATCAAGTAAATCTTTTTATTTATAATCATAATAAATAATAAATTTACCCATCTAATAGCTACTCGAAGATTTTCTATACCAACTCGCATCACTACCGATGTAGACCGTTCACAACAGACACCATCAAGTAAATATTTTTATTTATAAGCATAATAAATAATATATTTACCATATTTATAGCTACTCGAAGATTTTCTATACCAACTCGCATCACTACCGATGTAGACCGTTCACAACAGACACCATCAAGTAAATCTTTTTATTTATAATCATAATAAATAATAAATTTACCATTCTTATAGCTACTCGAAGATTTTCTATACCAACACGCATCACTACCGATGTAGACCGTTCACAACAGACACCATCAAGTAAATCTTTTTATTTATAATCATAATAAATAATAAATTTACCCATTCTAATAGCTACTCGAAGATTTTCTATACCAACTCGCATCATTACCGATGTTGACCGTTCACAACAGACACCATCAAGTAAACCTTTTATTTATAATCATAATAAATAATAAATTTACCATTCTTATAGCTACTCGAAGATTTTCTATACCAACTCTCATCACTACCGATGTCGACCGTTCACAACAGACACCATCAAGTAATTTTATTTATAAGCATAATAAATAATAAATTAACCATTCTTATAGCTACTCGAAGATTTTCTATACCAACTCGCATCATTACCGATGTTGACCGTTCACAACAGACACCATCAAGTAAATCCTTTTATTTATAAGCATAATAAATAATAAATTTACCATTCTTATAGCTACTCGAAGATTTTCTATACCAACTCGCATCACTACCAATGTAGACCGTTCACAACAGACACCATCAAGTAAATCTTTTTATTTATAAGCATAATAAATAATATATTTACCATATTTATAGCTACTCGAAGATTTTCTATACCAACTCGCATCATTACCGATGTTGACCGTTCACAACAGACACAATCAAGTACTTTTTATTTATAATCATAATAAATAATAAATTAACCATTCTTATAGCTACTCGAAGATTTTCTATACCAACTCGCATCATTACCGATGTTGACCGTTCACAACAGACACCATCAAGTAAATCCTTTTATTTATAAGCATAATAAATAATAAATTAACCATTCTTATAGCTACTCGAAGATTTTCTATACCAACTCGCATCACTACCGATGTAGACCGTTCACAACAGACACCATCAAGTAAATCTTTTTATTTATAAGCATAATAAATAATAAATTTACCATTCTTATAGCTACTCGAAGATTTTCTATACCAACTCGCATCACTACCGATGTAGACCGTTCACAGCAGACACCATCAAGTAAATCTTTTTATTTATAAGCATAATAAATAATAAATTTACCCATTCTAATAGCTACTCGAAGATTTTCTATACCAACTCGCATCACTACCGATGTAGACCGTTCACAACAGACACCATCAAGTAAATCTTTTTATTTATAATCATAATAAATAATATATTTACCATTCTTATAGCTACTCGAAGATTTTCTATACCAACTCGCATCACTACCGATGTAGACCGTTCACAACAGACACCATCAAGTAAATCTTTTTATTTATAAGCATAATAAATAATATATTTACCATATTTATAGCTACTCGAAGATTTTCTATACCAACTCGCATCATTACCGATGTTGACCGTTCACAACAGACACAATCAAGTCTTTTTATTTATAATCATAATAAATAATAAATTAACCATTCTTATAGCTACTCGAAGATTTTCTATACCAACTCGCATCACTACCGATGTAGACCGTTCACAGCAGACACCATCAAGTAAATCTTTTTATTTATAAGCATAATAAATAATAAATTTACCCATCTAATAGCTACTCGAAGATTTTCTATACCAACTCGCATCACTACCGATGTAGACCGTTCACAGCAGACACCATCAAGTAAATCTTTTTATTTATAAGCATAATAAATAATAAATTTACCATTCTTATAGCTACTCGAAGATTTTCTATACCAACTCGCATCACTACCGATGTAGACCGTTCACAACAGACACCATCAAGTAAATCTTTTTATTTATAAGCATAATAAATAATAAATTTACCATTCTTTTAGCTACTCGAAGATTTTCTATACCAACTCGCATCACTACCGATGTAGACCGTTCACAGCAGACACCATCAAGTAAATCTTTTTATTTATAATCATAATAAATAATAAATTTACCCATCTAATAGCTACTCGAAGATTTTCTATACCAACTCGCATCACTACCGATGTAGACCGTTCACAGCAGACACCATCAAGTAAATCTTTTTATTTATAAGCATAATAAATAATAAATTTACCCATCTAATAGCTACTCGAAGATTTTCTATACCAACTCGCATCACTACCGATGTAGACCGTTCACAGCAGACACCATCAAGTAAATCTTTTTATTTATAAGCATAATAAATAATAAATTTACCATTCTTATAGCTACTCGAAGATTTTCTATACCAACTCGCATCACTACCGATGTAGACCGTTCACAACAGACACCATCAAGTAAATCTTTTTATTTATAAGCATAATAAATAATAAATTTACCATTCTTTTAGCTACTCGAAGATTTTCTATACCAACTCGCATCACTACCGATGTAGACCGTTCACAACAGACACCATCAAGTAAATCTTTTTATTTATAAGCATAATAAATAATAAATTTACCATTCTTTTAGCTACTCGAAGATTTTCTATACCAACTCGCATCACTACCGATGTAGACCGTTCACAGCAGACACCATCAAGTAAATCTTTTTATTTATAATCATAATAAATAATAAATTTACCCATCTAATAGCTACTCGAAGATTTTCTATACCAACTCGAATCACTACCGATGTAGACCGTTCACAACAGACACCATCAAGTAAATCTTTTTATTTATAAGCATAATAAATAATATATTTACCATATTTATAGCTACTCGAAGATTTTCTATACCAACTCGCATCATTACCGATGTTGACCGTTCACAACAGACACCATCAAGTAAACCTTTTATTTATAATCATAATAAATAATAAATTTACCATTCTTTTAGCTACTCGAAGATTTTCTATACCAACTCTCATCACTACCGATGTAGACCGTTCACAACAGACACCATCAAGTAAATCCTTTTATTTATAAGCATAATAAATAATAAATTTACCATTCTTATAGCTACTCGAAGATTTTCTATACCAACTCGCATCATTACCGATGTTGACCGTTCACAAGTGACACCATCAAGTAAACCTTTTATTTTATAAGCATAATTAATATATTTAACATTCTTATAGCCACTAAAAGATTTTTTATTCCAACTCGCATCATTCCCGATCTTGACCGTTCACAATACACACCATCAAGTAAATTTTTTAATTGATATTATTATTTTTTTAGCTAAAATTTATCAATGACAAAGGTTTATTTATAATTTCATATTATTATAATTTAATATTATATATTTTATTTTATCGATCATGCCCCATGAAATAAGGATAGCATTTGTTTTAATTTTAATTTTTTTTTAAAAAATTAACCTGTTAATAATAGATAATCCCTTCCCTGATATCTGATGAAAATTATAAAATTCGAAATTCCATTTATATTATCATTTTTAGAGATAATCATATTATGAATATTATTCTTGTCATGTTTTGTTAATTGACTTCCTATTCAATTGGTTTATTAACCTGCCACATCCTACCTATTATGCACTCCTTAAATGTCATGATTTATTTTACTTTGAGTGAGCCTATTAAATATTTGACAACATTATATTTTTACATAATATACAGGTTATTACGACTAAGAATCTATAATTACCCGTCTAGGACTAATTTTGACTAATATTCTTATAAATGATACATATATATTTTTAATTATTCCCAATATTATATATATATAAAATTATTATCCGGCACATTATATAATAACTATTGCTCATATGTATCCTGTATTTTGGGTAATAACATTATCTAAATAATTTTATATTAGCTTTTTTTAACCCACGTGTTTGAGTTCAAGCAGAGACAAAATAATATATTTATAGCTATAAACAAATTACTTTTGGAAATGAATCTTTATAAATTAGCTCTAGCCAATCAAAAATCAAGTAAACCCATGATATCTTTCTTCCCATTGGTTCATAGATCAGTTAAATTCATTATAATAATTTTACATTTACCATTTCTATTTTACTATATTAACAAGACCATTACATATAAATTTTCATTTGATTAGTTAAATAGATATAGATAGATAGAGTTATTAAAATATGATTGAGAAATTTATTTAATATTTCTCTCATTTGGTTATTCTAATATTTGTGTATACAATTTATTTTATTTCTTAAAATTATATATTTTTAAATTTTTATTTGATAATATAATTTTTGATTTTTAAAAAACAAATTTTTTAAACAAATAAACCACAATAAATATGAAAATTATATATATATATATATTAACGAATCAATATAAATACAAGTTAGTGTGGCGACTATTTAGCCCTAACGAAATAGGCTATAGGTAATTAATATAATTCTTACAAATTGCGTAAAAAACATATTTAAAATTATTCTTCGTGATATATTTACTTGAATGGGCCCAAAATATTTATGTGCTTGGGAAAAACCTATAAAAACGCTCCCTTTCTAACCAAGCTAGATGCCAGAATTATTTAGTGTACAGTATATGAAATTACATCTATAATCAGATTTGAATGCTACTAATGTAACTCTTGCGATTCTCCTTATACTTATATTTTTCTTGGGGACAACTCATCTTGGAGTTAATTAATGATACAATTTATCAAGACTGCATAATATGGTCTCACTAAATAATCAAATATTTAATCTTCCTAATATATTTTTTTCCCATAAAAATTGATAATATTATTTAATTTTAACATCTCGGAGAATTCATAAAACTACTACCTACTTCAAATATCATCAATAGATATTCTATAAGAACACCATTAAGTAATAGGTCTTATTTTTTTCAATTCATTACCATAGATGAATTTTTTTATCAAAATTATTATATTTCAGCTAGAAGAAGAATCCCAGTTTTGCCAACCGCTAGTTTCAATAATAATAAACCCCCCTCCACTCAATCGAGCCAATCCAGTCGCTCACCAAGTATAAATCTTCCTAATTTTTTTTAGAATATAATCGATATTATTATTTAATTTTAAGAACCCGGAAATGCTTTAAATATCAACAACAGATATAATGTACAAACACCATTCAGTAATAGATCTCTTTTCTTTTAAATCCATTACCGTAAGATGAATTTTTAATCAAAATTATTATATTTCAGCTAGGCGAATAATTCCAAATTTACCAAACCCCGCTAACATACTCCATCGCCTTCAATCGGGTAAAACTTTTCCAATAATTTTAATCAAAAATAAAATTTATTCCTCATATCGGATCTTGGAAAAGATTCTTTAACACAATCATCCAAACGAATAAAAAGAAAATCTTTTAATTATTTTGCATCATTTCATACAGTCAGTGGCGTATTTTTTTTTTTTAAAACGCCCCGCAATAAGATAACAGAGATAACAAATAATTTTTGCGTTTTTTAAACTTTTTTTGAACTTTTAACAATTGAAATCGTTTATAAAATAAGAGCTATAAAGGATATGGAGCTAAAACGAGGCCTTAATCGGATAAGAGAAAACAGTGGAATCTACCCAAAAAAAAATACAGTTTTATCATATGAAAAAAAGATAGATATACTTTTCTAGTAGTGACCTATTTTAAATTCTCATATGAGAAAATTAATGATTACAACTTTATCGTATTTAAAATTTTTTTCTTCATTTATTATCGATTAAGATCTTATACATTTCCCAAAAATTCTCGGGCCTACTGAAAGAGGTATTATACAATTATATTACTTTTTATGTTACTTAAATTCTTAAGTTTTTTATATTATATAAAAATTCAAATCTTAAAGAAAATCTATTTGCGCATCGCATTTATTATTATGATGATACTATTATAATTATTTTTGCTTGATTTGTTTATAATTTCTGTATTCACCTTAATTTTAATTCATTATAATATTCAATCAAATTAATAACCTTTTAGGAGTTAAGGTTACTATAGAAAATTATGCATAATTCAGGCTAAGGAGTACGTATCAGGACATTCTAGTTTTTTAAGAATTCTGTCTTATAAATTTTGAAACAAAATGATAAAATGTAGATTACCCATTTATTTAATATATATATAAAAAAAAATTTATGTATTAATTTACCCATTATTTTTTGATCCTAAGAAGGTAATCAGATTATGTCATTTGTATCTCTTTCAACTTTATTTTATTATTTCACCGTTATATTTAGCCCCCCAAATGAAAAGAAAAAGAAATCGAAAGGTTAAAAATTAATTAATTATACATAATATATCCAAACAAATGTCTCTTTTTTTTTTGGCGATACCATTAGTTAGCGTTTTTAAAAGGTTCGATGTTTTGGTAAACGAATAACCGATACTTTAGCCAAAAAAAAATATATATATAGAAATGCCTTAAAGATTACTCTAGAATTCAAAAAAAAAAGGTTTGAATATCTATATAAAAAAAAACGAAATCTTGGGTTCGCTAAATTTTTTTGGTTAGAATATTGGGTTTTATGCCCCTTTCGCAATATATTACAATAGTGCAATTTTGCAATTTTATAGTAATTCTTAATATGTATGTTACGATCTAGTAGTCAAGGTCAAATACACTTATTTGCAGTTATCAATAGTGTTGTAATATTAGCTAACTGTAACTATAAAACAGCGTAGCCATGTTTTTTATTCCAGAAATATTCCAATACTCAACTTGGAAGCTTAATTAAATTTTTTAGGGGCTAAAAAGCTTGACTGAGTCACGATAGAGTTCTTTGGCTTTCTTTCTTTCTTTCTTTCTTTCTTTCTTTCTTTCTTTCTTTCTTTCTTTCTTTCTTTCTTTCTTTCTTTCTTTCTTTCTTTCTTTCTTTCTTTCTTTCATTCATTTAACTAATTATCGAGTCTTGTAGCATTATATAAAATTGTCTAAAAATAATAGGAAAGGTTACTATTCTACACGTGCTGCGATACGTTAAAATTATGTTATTAAAATAATCTAAGTTGGTTACACTCACGGATGCCAGAAATATACGGGTAAGGAGTGGGGAGGGGGGGGGACTATCAGATAATATTTCCTGCCGTATATTTTATTTGGAGGTTTTTATAGGCACAAAACTCATCGTAACCCCTTTGGCTATATTATATTTTTTTTATTAAAAAAAAGTAGCGGATAGCCCGTCAAGAAGGGCGGAGAACCAGAATTTTCTCCTTATGGATAAATAATAAATTTTACCTTTATTTGACGATGGATGAATCGGAATAGTCAAGTGAGAGGAATAGATTATCTGAATTCATTCCTCCAAAATTTCTATAAATTTTTTAAGAGAAAAGGCCAAGTATATATCAGGGAAAATATGGAATAAAAAAAAAAGTAAGAAAAAAATAAGAAGATCTTAGCCAGGATCCTAACCCAAAGCCATCACATTCGTAAGCGACGCACTTGCCGATTAGGCCACGAACGCCTTTCGTTTTAATATACATCATAAATTGCGACACTGTGACTGTGACGCCATGACACTGTGACTGTGACGCCGTGACACTGTGACTGTGACGCCGTGATACTGTGACTGTGACGCCGTGACACTGTGACTGTGACGCCGTGATACTGTGACTGTGACGCCGTGACACTGTGACTGTCACACGGATATATTATAGATAATTTTATCTTTTCCAAAAATTGTCATATTTGTATCATTTACGTAGGGAAATGGTTGTGCAAAGGGGAATTTTATTTATTAGCTTTAGGAATGATATTTTACGAAAACAGGTAAATTTTGGAATGGAGGGATCTCTACCCCCCCCCCCCCCCTCTCCCCTTTGGTTGCCACGGATATGGTTGAGTAATTTTTATATTATTGGCCGCATAACCACGAATCCCTAGTGGCGCGATTGCTATCGCGATTTAACAGCTGATCGATTCGCGAGATTAATTTATTAATTATTAAATAGTAATATTTTATCTTTTAAATTCCATTCATATTAATAATAATAATAATAATAATTTAAGAAATAATGATTTTGATAATAATAATGAAAAAAACATATGTTTTTTAAAGAAAAACTGTCAGCTGTTTAAATCGCCATCGCAATCGGGGGCCCATTACGAATTTAAGGTGATCCGATGTTTACGAAAACTATCACTTAAAACGCCTCTCTAACGGATTCTCTCTGTTAGGATTAATGCTCTGAGAATTGAGGAAGCAGATGAGAACCTGATGGATGGAACAGTTAAACTGAGCACAAATAATTACGCAAACATTTTTTTTAATTCTTTTATTTTTAAAAATTTTCTCACAAAAATAATGATTACAATTTCGAAAACTTTTTTTTTTATAAATTAAAAATATATATAATAATTTCAAATCCAGATGAAGAAAAATTTTATAATTATTCACAACATCTCACCCTTACATTTGGGATGTATTATGGGCTCGATGCCTAAATTCTCATCTTAAAGGATTTGCCAATAGCATGCCCTCTATCTTCTGTATTTCTATTTAATGACGCTTCTGCCTCTGACGTTATAAGGTGATTATTTACTACAGATCCTGTAGAAAAAAATAGTTCTAGGTCCCCCTGGTAAACCTGTCAGGTGAAGTTGCTAGTAATTAGGATTCGATACAATTCCCTTTGCCGTTAAACTCGGGACTCACCATACCCTTTTTCTCGGTAACGGTCCATAATTC